AGGGAACGGAATATTTATTACCTCCGAGCAATGTGATTCCGAGACGGAAACGACAAAATAATTAACGCCATGAGAACCCGGCGCAGGCCGCGTCGAGTCGTAAAAACTGCAAACGAATTCGGCAGCGACCGGAAGAGGAGCCCGTGGCTGGCAACATCCCTCGAGTGAGATATGCGCGGGAAAAGCTGATTATCGAATAAAACGTTCGTGTCAAACGGTCTGTTTGCTGCCGTTTGTGCTGTGGGTGGGCGCATTGTACACGAGCGCGTGTTACAATACTGTGGGCCACAGCTGACGCGGAGATATTACGCATCAACCGGACACTGCGTGCACGCGAACGGCGATGAACTCTGCACTTACGTTTCATTGTTTGCGGAGGACATGACACGCGCAATCGTAATTCTTCTTAATTCAGTCATCACCGATACGATTTCATTAGTTTACTGTAATTTTATCACGTTCATAGATTGCTACTATGTAAGGACTCTCCCGTATATATTACAAAGTAACCGGTTCTGAACGACTCAGTGTTATTCTTTCTTTTGGCGTTTTCTTTAAACGTACTTTTTAAAACGTTACAGACCTTGATTTTTCATTTTTTTTAAGTTCAACGCTAAATAGTTGTATAAAAAATCCATATTTTTGTTTCATCCTATTCGACTTATTATTATCGTTATATTTTATTCGAAAGAAATGTTTTCGTAATCACTGAGTTTCATTTCAAATAACAAAAAAAAGTATATTATATCTAGTGTTTAAATCTGAATCCATGAAGGAACCCTTCCAAGATACTCAGAAATACATAATATATCCTTTGAACGGTGATATATTTATAACTGCAGTCATTTACGCTTAATAGAAACACTTGTTAATAAGGACCACGGATTTATCGGGACAATTATTTTACTATGAAAATAAATGTATAGTTGTAGTGTAGTCGTTCACTGTTTATCTCAGCCTGGAATTCGGATAATTGGAACATTTTTACGGAGTATATTATATAAATTGTAGTCAATAATCCGTCAATATTTTTCTTATCGAATTAAATTATTAGATTAAATATATCTTTTTTCTTTTTATTATGTATTTATAGTATTATCTATATCATGTGTACGGTTCAAACGTGATGTGATATTATTTGATTCATTAGTTCTTAATAGTGTTTGGCGTGTACAGTAATGATGTTTTATGTTAGTAGAAATGCATACATAACTTTAGCTAGTTTTATCGAATAATTGCAGCTTTGAAATAGAGAATTGAACTGTACTGCTCATCCTAATGTATCTTCGAAAAACATCAAGCTTGAATTTTTACCTCCTAATACAACATCACTAATTTAATCTTTAAATATAGGTGTTATTCAAAATGTAAAGATAAGTATAGAGCAGTGGTTGACAACTGGAAAACCGCGGAAGGCAAATAACTGGTCCGTCAACATATCTTACTTAAATGCTTTAATTACATTTTTAAAATAATTTTAATAATGATTAAATAAAAAATGGAATATTTTATTATAATATATATTACAGTTATCTCATAACAAAATTATTTTTTCTCTGGAACTCGTTTATTAATTATTTTAATCTTTCGGACTCCAATAAAAATTACTTGCTGACCAATTATATACAGAAACACTGATCAATTACATTTTAGAAAAGATTAATCACAATTAACTTCAACCACAATCAGCGGTGTATAGATAACAGTAAAAAAAAATTAATATCCTCCAGGCAATTGAATTTATTGTATATAAATCAGAAATCAATAAATTTATATGTTTCTTTTTGTATTTTAAATTATTGGGACAGAATGTCACGCAACCGATGTGTTCCAATAAAACAGAGTCTACTGTACTATGTTTGTCAATTCAGTAATCGATACTTAGATATAAAATATACAATCAATGAGACCTTAGGCGTCACTAAGGGGTATCGAGGGGTATTTTTGCTACCCTAGACATTTTTGTGGGGTAGCAAAGGTATTGTTTGCTACCCCAAAAAAAGTTATAGATTTTAAAAATATATTGGTAGTTTATTATTCAAGTGTGTACGAATATAGACCATCTATAATTGTGATTATATCCAAAATAATTATATTTTGTGATAATTCCAATACGGACAATCAAACAGTGTATATACATCATATCAAGATTTATAAAGAAGAGTAAGCCAGTTAAATAAACCAGTTATCATGTTGAACCTTTTAAAATTTATTTTTTAACTTTCTAAAAATAAACTTTGCTACCCCAAAATTTGGACTGAAGTGACGCCAATGAATGAGAGGTTTGTGTATCGTTATTATTATGTATTGCAGTAAAATGTATTGTTACTACAATAATAAAAATATAGTATGTATATAAAATACTCCCTGTTGATGGTACACAATAAAACGAATTTATTCCTTGTTCCACGGAGTTTTTATTTTATCGATTTTCCATGTTAATCGAAATACCACATTAACTCTCTCGTTAATACTCATATTTTATTGAAAATTAATATATATTTAAGCACGAAACACATTTTGTCATGCATCAACGAAATTGACGAGAATGCTCTTTTTTCAAATTATCATCGTAAACACGTTTAAATTAAGGGCTTTTCTAAACATTCTATGATTTGGGTAGCTCTGATGTTAATAACCTTAAAAACACGCTACAGATGATTTTTTCTCGAAAATACACACCTTATTATAATTACCAGTTGTAAATATATACAATATACCTATCTATGGTGCATTATTTTATTCAGTTAATCCCATTATCATCGTTATTATTGTTTATACATATTTCATATTTGAAATACATTTACATAATATATCACATGAACAAAATGCATAATTTTGTATACTACATGACCATAACAATTAAAGCGTATAGCTATATATTTAATTTTATAAATTATGTTCATTTTTTCAACGCACAGTACAAAAAAAAAAAAAACAGTAAACGGGTTTATCTTTCTCACTCTTTTTGTCTCTCTTCATCACTCCAAAATATCTTCTACATAACTTTTTATCCAGTATCCTAATTTTCATGTTACATACAACAATTATTTGTTATTTTTATTGTAACGTTGAAAAACGTGTAATATATAATTTAATTAAATGTCAGCCTATGTTATTGGTCTATCGGGTTTTCGTAAATTTTCGTCCGACACGATTGTTCTTCAACTGTATATAGGTGTTCAGTCGATGAAACATAATATTAAGTATTTTTTATATATGTTTACGTATATAGTGTATATTATTATGATTCATGCACACACGCACACTTGGGGTACTATAATAATCCTTCGGGACATTAACGCGCTACCGTGTTACGAAACCTGTACTCTCAGTTAGGGTGATACTCTTACTGGTTATCGAACACACTGCTAATAAAAGACTGAGATACTTCAGTACTTCACGCATACATAATATATGTATAAATATTTACATAAAGGTGTGCACAGACGAGCTTTATAGTAGTATGCATTGTCACCCTTACTCGCATCAGTATCATTCATCGTTTTTACGTGATGTTAAAATTTTTTTTTTTTCTTTTTGCCAACTTTACTGTGTGAAAAAAAAGGTTTTTCTTATTTGTCTAGATATTTTGTGTTGATTATTGTTTTTTTTTTTTTTTTATATATATTTTAGATATTAATAGATACTATGCGCTGTTGTTCAGTGGCACAATTGGAGTTCAAATCTTGGAATAGCTACATTACGAAACCACGCCCCCCAATATTACATACAGCCAATATCCAATATTTAGATTATACCATTATTATATTTGCTTACCAGTGCGAGAAAGAAATGTAACAAATTTTATTTTTGTACTATAGTATTTTATTGTGTTAAAATATAAAGTTTCAAACGAAATTTCCTATCAATAGTAGGTAGTAAATGTGTTCGATATTTGATCTAGAACAATGCCATAAACTGTAGATATTTTTAATTCAATACAAAATAGAATATGGGGCGTTTTAAATTAAGTCGGAGGTGCTTAAGCACTCTCTAGCATCCCCATAGTTACGCCACTGCTGTCGTTGTTGTCGATAGTCTTAATAATAAGTTTATTATTATTAAAATACTTGTGTGGTATGTTTTACAATAATTATAATTATTTTGGTTGTATTTTGCATTCAGCACATATAGATATATTATGGCAATGTATTAATGTCAATACTCAATGGCAATCGATTTGAAAAATTCATTATTCATACAAAATGTATTTTCGATGTAAATTCCAAACTATTGACTAGGTACTCGTAAATTTGAATTAAATTGAACAAGTGTGAATATTATTTTATATTGTTTTATTATTAATAAAATTAAAATATCGTTTTCGTCTGTGCGTAACAACGTGTTGACGAGACAGATGTCGACAACAATGAACGATGAAAGAAACGAATTACAGTCAAACGAATGTTTCCTCATAAATGTAGTCGAGAACCTGCTATGATTTATACAATGGCCGCGCGCGAACGAAAACGGGTAATTAATTTGACTGCCTATTGGACGCACATCACTATACGTAACTATTCACGTATCGGTCTAAGTTTCGGAACTCCGGTATCTAATTTGTTTACAATAATGACTTTCACTCGACGGGAAAACAAATAGTAATAATAGTGGCCGGATGGGAAATATATATACGCGCGTACCCGTACTACACTGCAGCTATTCGATGTTGAGAAAAATCAATAGTCCGTCGTACGAAACGTCTGACAATTAAATACGACCAGGTATACCGAAGTGTTATAATGGTACACGCATTATTGTTTGGTATGGGAACAATAATTATATTGATCGTTATTTTTTAAAATGTATGTAAATTTAAAATTATAATATAAATTGCAAAGCATAATTGTGTTTATACATACCTAATGTTATTGACTAAAAGTGTTTAATATACTATCATATAGAGCACCGTAATAAGTTTATTTAAAATATAGTAATATACGAGTAGGTAACTCATCTCGCCCACTCGAATAAATATGATAAATTTTTTTTTTCAGTTGTATTCTGCAGGCAATGAAGCCGACCGACGGACCTTTTTGGACTCCCTGTTCAGTTTTATGCAAGAACAAGGTAAGCACGAAAATAAATGAATATTTATAAATTATATGCACCATTTTCCTGCATTTTGTATGTATTAAAAGATACAGAGAAAATTATTTACGTAATAACTGGTTATTGGACATTGGTGTCAAAATAGAGGGTACACTCGGCATATTGCTACATGCCATAGTATGTTTCCACACAATATAATGATGAAAGTTTATGAACAGCTATAAATTCATCGATGATTACTCCTTAAGTTATTATTTATTAGACGTAAACATTTAAAATGTATAATTCATAAGATCTTAAAATCCATATTATTTTCAAATTCAATTAACTGACTTATTAGTATAATGATGTACTTAATTATGCTTTTTTTTATATACTTAAAGTAAAATTTTAAAAGTTTATTACTAAGAGTTGCTTAAAAATATGTCGTATAATGTAAAATATGAACATACTATATACACAAAATAAAACTATAGTATCATATCGACCACATAAGAGTGTTAGTATTTTTTAATACATTTATATACACAGTTTATACATTTGAAATCTATGGTAAGTCATTACATTTAAATTATGATCTTCCGCGAAAGTTTCTGTAATAAATATGTGTATTTAATGAAGCCTAAGGCTATCGGTCAGTATTAAAATTAATTAATTAAAACTAAGTAGTAGATATTTTTTTGATATGTTGAAATTGAAAACTTTTCGAAGGGTTACGGGGATAACGACGAAAGTCAAAAAAAAAAAAATTCTGATGATTGTACCATCTTATAAAATTATATATATAAGATATTATTATTATATCATGCATTTTAAAAAGTAAATTACATTTTTGTTTTATACTTTCTTTTCATTGTTTTGTACTTTATCTCTTAGTTTTTTGAGTTCTAAACCTTTTAAACTGCAGTAATAAACAGTTTAGGAATATCGACTATTATCGTTACCCTTAACCCTTAATTTCTATTTTTTGTTCAAATAGGAAATTAGTATCACCAATACTTAATAAGAGCATATTTTTCTATGATTCTGACCGTCCCTTAAATCTCTGAAAAAAAAACTCTATATCAGAAGCATTAACGATTAGGTATGATAACTAGGTAAAACAAAACCAGATAAATTTGTTTCTCATTAAATGTTTAGTAACTATATATATAAAAATAATATGTATAATTTATTATAATAAGTATATAATCTCAACCAACCCAGTTGATTTTTGTTAAATATCATCAATATAATTTTTAACAATAATTTTATATGATTCATCTGGTTTCATCAATTTGATTTTTCCTAAATTTTCTCTGATATTTGCATAGCGTCTAAAGGCAATAACTCTAACAAAATATTATAATAAATAAATAACAACAGTGGTAAAATAAAACGAAAAATTAAACCAATCTATCAAAGATTATGAAGCAGATATATTGTTCATTTTTTACATAACGGAGATCAGTGACCTAGCGGTGTGCGTTAAAAAACTATTCATTTCCTATCAAAATCTATTGCCGATTATAAACGATTTCATTTTAAAATGGTATCGATCATGTTATGTATCATTTTCAATTTTTTTACTAAAGGTTTGCCTTCAGAATTTAATTATTCAATTTTATACCTAGATTTATAATTTTGAAATTAAATTTTGTTTAAACAGTAATTAAAATTAGTTAAGAATATTATATATCTATGAATTATAATAATAAATAATAAATAAAGGCTTTCGTGCCTCCTCGTGATTTTGTTACTTTATTTATTAGAAAAGTTTTTTCTTTAGTTGTTGATTTGGTATATTGGTATTTTTTTTTTCATCTGTATTATGAAATAATATGTAATAGTATGTAACTATACCCAACAATTTTAGTCTTGTTTCAAATACTTTATTAAAAATATGACTCAAATAAGTAAAAAGGAATATGGTAAAATGTATTATATTATTATGAACATACCGTCGGAGGCGCTAAGCAAGAGTGTATTGAATGTACAATAAAAATTATTATGTTTTTATAGCCAAATAAAAAATAAGCAACGCCATGAAAAATCGATTTTTTTTTAAACGTATTTCATTACGAGTAAATGTTTTAATGCAATACGTAAATATACCAACTATAAACTACGAGTCTATAAAAAAAGTTTTAAATATGATTCTGGTTTGGAAATCAAACAAGACTAATATGCTGTAGTAAATTATGTCATTAATATATATATTATATTATACTATCATAAATATATATGTATTGCATGTGTAATAAAAAAATTTTTATTTCTAAAAATTAAAAAATTATTATGATATTTTAGGGACTGACGAGTTGTAGTATATATAATATACTTTATAACAATAAATTGTTTTTGAATTTTAAATTAACTCTGAAAAGTTGAATTCTCTCGTTTTATTATTTCTTTCTTAATACAACAATGTAATATAATCGAATTATTACCAATTTTCGTATTTTTCAGTCTATAGTGTTAATATTTTTAGGCACGTTTTTCTTTTTTACTTTTTCATTAACAATATTGTTATATAATAACTTTGAAGAATATGAGTAGCACAGCAAATGAGTTGTCTTCCGCATATTAATATATATTATATATTTATAAGCTTAGTATACCTATATTATAAACGTTCGTTTTAAAGCTGATGAACAATTGATTTGATTTAAATTTTTTTTTTAACGCCGTGTAGTACTTCAAATTCGTTAACTAATTATTTCGGGTCTTTGTCTTAGAGATGTGAGAAAAAAGAAAAACAATACAAAAGTGGTTTGAAAAGTATAAAAAATATTTGTATTCGTGTTAATTATCCAAAACAAATGGGCTGTGTGTGTGAGTATGTGTGTGTGCGTGTGTGTGTATATATATTATAATATTTTTCTGTAAACTTCGGATCGTGGCTGTCATTGTGTGTGATGTATATTTCTAATGAAAACTATTGCAGTCGTATATCATTACTTTATTAAAAAAATAAAAATAAAAATAAAAACGTAAATATATATTTTTTTTATATTATAATGACACTAATGAACTAAAAATACCAAATTTACATATACTATAAGTGTAGCAATTGCGAAACGTCATTAGGCAACATTTGTCGTTATTATGAGGTTTCTATTATGTCTATAATATATATATTGTCTCAATATATAAAAGTAGTGCCTGCATATTTTATTTAAAATAATAATAATAATATATTATTTAGTTTGTACCTATTAGTATTCCTATGTATATGACGATGTTTTGTTCAAAAAAACGTTTTTATAATAATATGTGTGTACTCTTTACATACGACTTCAGTGAGTATTGAAGTTCCAGATTTCGATGAAATGAGTCGGCAGAGTGAGAGAACTGCATACATAGTATTCATTTTTTTTCTCATATACGATTCGACGAACGAAAACACTGCACAGTTCTTTATACCATACATACATAAAGTTATTACTATTACGATAATATTATACGTATTATGCGTTTTGACCTTATCGTTACCGATCGAATAGAAGGCGTTTTAACAGCTAGTCGATTTGTCAAGAATAATCTTGTATGTGCACATGTACAAACAGCGTTTTAATTATAATAAGATGCGTCGAAGTATGACCGTTTTGTGTTCTCGTTCGCCTTCGCTTGTACAGCGGCTATACGACTAAAACACGTTGTTTTAGTAACTTCAAAATCTAATCGATTTTTTTTCTGTACGTATGGTCACTAAATCAACCTGAGAACCATAGACGATTATATAATAAGCTCACTATAGTATATAGTAAATAGTAATCTCTCATTATCCGTAGAGGTCAAGTTCCAGAAAGTTGCGTGGATAACAAAACCACCAAAACGAGACCATAAAGCAATAAGTAAACAAGGAGATTAGATTTTATCTTTATTATTATAAAAATCACAATAATGTTAATATGTATTTTCTACAATTATATATTTATTTAATAAATAGGAATATTTTCCATTACACTGCACCGTATTATTTCTTAATTTTTTTGAATTTCTCGAACACTAGATTAGTTTATTTCGTCCATTCTATAAAGTGATGTTACGTAACACCACTTTTTAATTTATCCAAAATTTCAATCAAAATTTTACAAACATCAACTGACAATTGAATGGTTGGCAATTATTAATCATACACTTGTAGTTGGTTACCTTATGTGGCTTATCTGTAATAAGTATATATGTCCGTACATAGTTATAAAATTATACCAAACGAAATAACTAAAATTATCTACAAAAATGAATCTACTTAAATTAACTTCAGTACTCGTATAATATCGGTTACATTTTATCGCTGATTTAACTGCAGATAACGAAGGTTAAATAGTATTTAATGGTTATCAAATCAGTATTAAATGATGTTATTTTTTTTTAAAATATTGAAAAAAAATTCCATTTTATATAATTGATTACTGTTAAAGATTTACGTAATAATTTTAAATAATACAAAATAATACAATTTAAGAACCATAACTTATCAAGTATACCGTATCTAGAAATATTAATTTTACCTGTAAGTTTCAATAGAGAGGTAAATTATAATTAATTCATTAAACTAAAATTCGGTTATTATTTAACGTGATTAATGGAGGGTTGCCGAACAGTTAATTTTAATGGGTTTAAATATATTAGTATTACTTTTTCTTCGAAAATAAAAACCATGATATTTTATTGGTTAACATACATTATGTTCAGTATAAAAGTGAATATACATATATTTATTTTAACTATATAACATACCTATGCAGTACCTATACTTTCTAGACTCGTGTCCCTATATTATAGTAATTAATAGAGTGGATCTAATTTACCAGCTGGTCAACTAATCATATCACATAAGTGCCTCCATAAAGATTGTTTATGTGATTACTCTTATTGGTCTTACTAAATAATTATAACATCCCATACCAACAATTTTTTTATATTCTAAATTATTAAGCGGAAAAGATTTAATAAATATTTATAAAGGCTTAACATTTTTTCGTGATTGCTTTTTATTAATAAAATTAGTTTAATTTTTTTTTTTAACTTAA